AGGACAAATACAGGAGAACAGACGGGACGAGACGGCAGCCCAGGCAGCCCAATGGGCCTGGTTTTGAGAGTGTGCACGACAGAGCATGGCTTACCTGGGCCCCCTTCACAGATGGCATCACGTCTTCAGGTTTCCCTTTATCCAACACTTTCCTGTGTTGCTGCAACGCAAGTCAAAAGAGCTCATTAAATGAAAGTAGACTGCATTTCGTTACATTCCCACCTCTGAAAAGCAGGACGAAGAAAGCCTAATGTTCTGTTCAAAAGCTTGTACTGCCTACAGACAGGGCCTCCGACACGACAGAGCAGCCCGGGCAGCAAACACTTGTGGCTGGAAGCTTGGCGACTAAGCGCTCGATATGGGGCTAGGACTGAGGAAATGCACCCCCAATTTTACTGAATTTTAATCAATCACACCTGGCTGCCACACTTAACATCAAAGTTCTAGAAAGCAGGACCTTACAGACTAGTTCAAAGAAAACCTATTTCCTCCCACAGTCCTCACTGAAAGGATTCAATACCAAGCTAACAGCTCCTGACAGGTTCAAATTGGCAGCAATTCTGCCAACTTACACTCCCAAAGACACCTGGCCTGATGCTGGGATGCAGCTCAACTGCCTGAAGGGGCACTGCCACCATAAACGGGGACTTGTCTGCTGCAGAAGTCTTCCTGCTGCCCACCCTCAACCCCAGCTAGACACAAAGCCTGAAGAACCGAATTTCCCAAGACAAATGCTGATTACTCAAGAGCCTGACCCTATTAGCAAGTCTCTAACCCAGCCCACCCCAGTTTGAGGCAGATCCTTATGAGTTCTAACAAGGCTCCCCTGAAACAGCTCCTGACCGGCCCACGTGCCTGAACCCGATTTCCCTCCCATTTGTGGCTGTATAGACACAGACACTGTTTAGCAAAGCTAGAACTACAGAGCAATGAGTGGGCAGAGGGTGAAAAATTAACCTAATTTAAGCACCAGGTGGCCATAAGGCTCACTGGCATGGCAGAAACCCTCCAATGGGAATAGACCCACCGCTGCCAGACTGCTAACAAAGGATCCCCTATACAACAGTCCCAGATTTCTGAGCCACTGATAAAGTCACAAAGATGGGGTCCTGTCATTAGGCGGTGTTATGCCTCATAACTGGCGTTAAACACTGCAGCATGGATTACAGTCTGAATTTGACTCATCTCTCACAAGTATCTTTGGAAGAATTTTCCCTGCACTGTGGAACAATTCTAAGCCTGTTAAGCGATCATTTGTAACTCAAAACCTGTATTCAAGAGACATGTATGCTCCCAGGTGTGGCCAGTGGGAATGCTCTCACATCTGCATTCTCGTATCTGACGTCTCACACATGTGGTAGAGCAAGACGGGAATACGGAAATAAGCTCAACTGGTTATAAGACATTTTGACCCCACAATTGGGGGTGGACGTGTCCAAATAAACACCTTTTAGATGGTAACATAGGTGTATAACTCCTTATTTTAAACCCCATAAACAGATGTTTTGAACTTTTATGAAGGCCAAAGGTTTTAGGGTATTTGTGTGTGTGGTGTTTTTTTTTTTTAAGCCTACAGCACCCAGTATTCCCAGGTGGTCTCCCATCCAAGTACTAACCAGGCCTGACCCTGCTTAGCTTCCGAGATCAGACGAGATCGGGCGTGTTCAGGATGGTATGGCCGTACACTGTAATATTTTTAAAATACGTTATATATCCTCCACAGGGTTGGGGGACGCACACTGCCACCAGCTACACTAAAATTTTTATGGTAAAACATGACTATTCAGCCAAAACCGGTTTGGCTCAGTGGATAGAGCGTCAGCCTGCGGACTGAGAGGTCCCGGGTTCGATTCCGGTCAAGGGCATGTACCTGGGTTGTGGGCACATCCCCAGTAGGGGATGTGCAGGAGGCAGCTGATCGATGTTTCTCTCTCATCGATGTTTCTAACTCTATCTCTCTCCCTTCCTCTCTGTGAAAAATCAATAAAATATATTTTTTAAAAAAAAATGACTATTCACGTTAATCCTGGTCAGGTTTTGCTGCCACATTTACAAAAGCACGTTTTGGGGGTTTGGAAACGCACACACAAGGGAATATGGACTGTGACAGAAAACTGTCCTTCCCACTGTTGGTCCTGTGCCCTGGTGCCTGGTCACTAAAGCCAGCGTTCGCCAGCTGGACGCTCCCCCAGGACACAGGTTAGGATGAGAACGCCTATTTTCCTGGAACACTACCAAGAGCGGGCTTGCTGGGTGACAAGATCACAAGTGATGGTTCTTCCACTAGCATCCTTTGACACTGCAATACACTGACCTCCAAAATGAGCCACAGAAGAGGAAAAACCTGGCCCCTATTTCAGGGACCAGCAGGGGAAATCAGCATAGTTCTCTTCCTAGTGCTTCACTCGGCTTCCCGAGGTGTCAGTTTTAGAGGAACCTCTGAAAGCTACTGATGCTCATGTCTTTCCAGAAATGGGCTTGTTGACTTGTGGGAAGCCACACACCAAAAGGCAAACGTAAGCACTTGCACTGACTGGGGAATCAGTTCTAGCAATGCACTGTTCTCTGGCACTGAACAGGAGAAACCCACGTCCGATTTGAAGCCTGCCCCTACAGAGGCCTTATCCTAAAGGAGATAGACTTGAGACACACTGACCCGCCAGATGAGACAAAGTTGCAAATCTCAGGTAGTTGTCACCTCCACTCAACAGCCAGCGGCACCCAACTGCTGCCATAAATTTCCATCATGGGCCCTGTCCAAAAAGGAGCTTATTCTAGGGAGAATATAACCAACCGCGGCTCCAGAAGCCTCACACTTCCCAGAACGAGCAGTCACACGACGGACTCACTTTCTGCCTGCACAGCGGCTCCTTCTTGTTCTCTTCGGCCTTGGCATCCTGCTGCGCAGAGTCTTTGGGCGTGTTTACTGCTAAAACATCATTTATCGTGGAACCAACCACCATGATCTTGGCTCCGCTGGTCACCTTTATTTCCCTCAACGTCTTATCCTCGGGGACAAGTCCCTTATACATGACTTTCTGCATGGCTGGCGGGAGACCTTGGGAAAAGGAGGCAGACAGTGAAAGGAAAATCGGAAAACTTACTTGGACCAGAGTACTTGACAACAGATCCCAAAGTGAGTGCTGCTCAACCGCCTACTACTTTTGCACACTTGGGCAATTCACCACCTGCCTCAGCCTCAGTTCCCAAACTTTGTAATAGTGACGACAGTCGTTCCTTCTGTATGGAACTGTCTTAAAGACCACAAGACAGGACAAACAGTATTTAGTGCAGCTCCTGGAAATTCAGTAACCGATAAAAATTAGCTGTCATTCATTCCAAGTTGTCCCTCAATCTTCCAATCACTCCAATATTAAGTGAGAGTCCACAGGCCTCAGGGATACAAAAACCCATAAGGACCAAGTTCTTGTTTTTACGGAGCCTACAAGCTACACGGAGAAAGCCTAGACCAGTGGTTCTCAACCTCCCTAATGCCGCGACCCTTTAATACAGTTCCTCATGTTGTGGTGACCCCCAACTTCGTTGTTACAAAGTGAACATAATTAAAGCATAGCGATTAATCACAAAAACAATCTGTAATTATATCTGTGTTTTCTGATGGTCTTAGGCAACACCTATGAAAGGGTCGTTCGACCCCCAACGAGGTCTCGACCCACAGGTTGAGAACCGCTGGCCTAGAGGGGAAAAGAATCATTTCAGGTGGCCAAGTGCTGTCCACCAGATGAAATTAAGTAGCAGGAGCACCTGGGAAGGGGCCAGCGGGCCGGTCACCAGCAGCGTTTCCTAGACTTCCCTTATGAGAATCACCTGATATTCGCGAAAAACAAATCCGAGGCCACATTCCAGCCCCACGGACTCAAAATCTCAGGCGGAGCAGCCTGGAGTCTAAACCTTGCAAGTGCTTCAGGTGGTTTTTATCAGGTGTCCGGGCAGCACTAATTACAGGCTTGGGCCTGGGACTCCGGGCGGGGCTGCAATCCCAGCTCAGCCGGCCACTTAGTGCTCTGCAATGCCAGGCCTCGTCTTGCCCATCTGGGTAATGGGCATCCTGGAACCCACTCCCAGGGCCGCTGTGAGCACGGCTGCTGGGCGAGCGGTCAGCGCGGTGCCCAGGCGGCGTGCGCTCCGGGAACCGGGGCGAGGCGGGGAGGGCGGCGGGGCTCCGTGCCGCGCGCGGGGTTACCTGTAATCGAGTGAATCTTCTGTTTCAGCTCGGAGCCCGTGCTGTCCAGGGGGAACTTCACGTCGTGCTTCGTCTTGTTCCAGATGATCTTCAGGTCCACCAGCTCCCGCGCCGCGCCGCCGCCGCCCGCGTCCTCGCCATTGCTGACCGAGGCCTGCGCCGCGGGGTCTCCGGGGGGCTGGGCCGGGGCCGGCTGCAGGCTGCCTCGCGCGGCACAGGCGTCCTCGGCCGCCGCCCCCGCCGCGGCTTCGGCCTCCACGCAGTTGAGGGACCGCGCGGGCGCCTCGGCCGCCACGGTCTCGGCCTCCGTGTCCATGCCAGGCTCCTCCATGCCTGCAAGGGGGGCAGGGGGTGGGCGCTCGCCGCGGGCTGGGCCTGCGGCCGGACCCACGCGTGCGCCGCCGCACCCTGGCTCCCGAGTCCGGGCTCTCCCCCCCACCAGCCCCCGGGCCGGGCCGCGTCCCCGAGGAGCGACCGCTTCACCCGCGCCCAGCCCGGCGCCCTCCACCCCGCCACACTCACCATCCGGGGCCCCGGCCGCCGCCATGATGATTGTGTACAACACCCACCGCGCCCGCAGGGGCCGCCGGGAAAAGGCGAGCTGGCGGAGATTGGCCCCCGCAGCAGCCCCTAAAATCTCGCCCAGGCTAACCGGAAACAGGTGGAGGTTTCTATGGAGACCCGCCTCCTCCGCTTCCCGGGCTCGGCCCCTGCCACGCTTTAACTTTCCGCGGCCGAGGGGGCAGGGCCCGGGAAATCGCCCGCTCGATGGGCTCTGCCCTCTAGCGGCCGAGCTGGGCCGCAGCCGTGCAGGGGGCGTGGGCTCGCCGGCTGAGTGGCCTGCGCCTTTAAGGGGCGGGGTGGGGCCCAGTGTGGCGGAAGCGGATTGGCTGGGAGGCGTCCCGGAAGTGGTTCTCGGAGAAGCCCACGTGGATGAGTCGAACCCACATGGCGGTGCTCTTGAGGACGCTGCTGCAGCCAGGGAGGCCCCCGGGAGTCTTGGGGCGCTCCCTGGGACGGCGTGAGGCCAGCCTGGGCACTGGTTCTGGGGCTGCGGTGCGAGTGCGGTTCGCCCCCAGCCCTACAGGTAATCTTAGGCGACGTGACGCTGCAGGCCGAAGCCCATCGTCCGGTGCCCGCCCCCAGAATGTTTCCAACGAACCCCTTCCGGTGGATTAGCCTGGGAGGGCAGCGCGACCCCATTTTGCAGGGGCAGAAACAGGTCCAGGAGCGGAAATTGTTCCCGCGGCCAGGAATTTCGTTGTTTCTTGGGTTGCACCTCTCTTTCGGTCTTTTTTTCACGTATTCAGTAAATGTGTGCTAAGTACACACTGCGAGGTACTGTTCCTCTGCGATACAATGACCATCTAGAAAGTAGGGCCCCTACTCTGGTGGCCGCGGCAGTCACGTGTGCCACATGGGAAATGAAGCGGGCGAGGGGACGGGTTAGTTTAGGTAGGACGCTCAAGCACATCTTGAGGAGGTGACATTTGAGCTGGGAACCCAATGACAAGAATGCAGTGTATAGGAGGAACCTGAGCAGAGGAAATTGCAGGTACACAGGCCCAGTAGCTAGGGTTGGAGCTAAGCAAGCCAACGGGAGTTCGGGGCCCACTGTATACCCCAGTGGAGATCGTGTCAGGGCTTCCCCACCGGTCCCCAGAACTGAGCTCTCTTTTGTTAGCCCCTGCTGAGTTAGAGCCCTGTTTCTTGATTAACCCTTTCACCCACCAGTTCCCAAAATTCTTTTCTCACGAGGCTGCCTCTGCCTTCACAATGAACCTGCCTCTCCTGAAACCCAGGGTCAGTATATAGGGCTGCCTGTGTGGCAAGATCCCAGCTGCACAGAGCAACAGGATTATGGATCGGTACTTTTATAAAATTAGTAGAAGTGGATTGCTAGAAAAATGAAAACCTAAAAAGCATACAAAATATGAGCCTACTTTATGTTTAATTAAAAAGGAAATTGTCCTGTCAAACTGCTGCTCTCAGCATTTTGCTCTCAATTTCTGTGCTTCCTTGCAACAGTTTACAGACCAGCACTGGTTTGGGAGCCAAAGCCTGAGATTTGTGGCTTTGCCACTTCTTCCGAGCTGTGTGACTTGGAGAAATTACCCAGAGGCTCTGAGTTTATCTGTCAGGCAGGGCTAGTGATAGTACCCAGCCCCTGGGTTTGAGATAATGTAGCCGAGGCACTTAGCAAGGTCTGGAACTTATAGAAAGCACTTCGTAAACAGTAGCCTCTATTTTGATTGTTATTATTAGTGTTTTCTTGCTGATTTGCAGGAGCAGCCCATATGGCAAAGGCTGTGGACTCCAGGCAGATAAAAGGATTACCAAGCAACATAGGTCATTACAATAGCTAAACTTCACTAAAGGGTGGGGTGTTCTTTGGTCAGCATTTAGGCCTCACAGCAACCCTATCCGGAAGGTGTCTATTTTTTGTTTTTAATCCCTCTCATAGATGAGGAAATGGATCTCATCCAAATTAAGTCGAAGGGGTACCAGCTAGTAAATGGTGAATGCAGGATTTGAATCCAGGTCTGTGTACCTGTAAGAGGTCTTGCTTTTGCCCTAACCAGTTTGGCTCAGTGGATAGAGCGTCGGCCTGCGGACTCAAGGGTCCCAGGTTTGATTCCGGTCAAGGGCATGTACCTTGGTTGCGGGCACATCCCCAGTAGGGAGTGTACAGGAGGCAGCTCATCGATGTTTCTCTCTCATCGATGTTTCTAACTCTCCCTCCCTCTCCCTTCCTCTCTGTAAAAAAAAAAAAAAAAAAAAAAAGGAGGTCTTGCCTTTAACTGCTAGACCCCTGTCTTCTGTCTTGGGGACCGATGGTTTTGTGGTGGCCTCGCAGTAATTAGCTGGAGGTCACACACATATCTGTTGAAATGGGTCTGCCTGACCCTAAGGGAGCTGTGCTGTCTCCTGTACTTGGAGGTGCAGGTGAGCTCATTGTGCAAACAGGGCCGTGGGCTAAACCTAAGCAGGTAGGATAAGGGGAAATGACAGCCCTGGGGAAATTGTTCCTTGTAAGCTGTCAGTCAAGAATGATGGAAAAGTAAAATCTTAGGAGTGTTGCCTTAACCGGTTTGGCTCAGTGGATAGAGCGTTGGCCTGCGGACTGAAAGGTCCCAGGTTCGATTCTGGTCAAGGGCATGTACCTTGGTTGCGGGCACATACCCAGTAGGGAGTGTGCAGGAGGCAGCTGATCGATGTTTCTCTCTATCCCTCTCCCTTCCTCTCTGTAAAAAAATCAATTAAAAAAAAATCTTAGGAGTTTAAATTCAGGTGAAGAGAAATGTGGAATCAAAGGTTACTTTTGGTTCGAGTTTAAAGCCAGCACTTAATGTAAAAATCTCAAGTAAACAAAATTCAAAATGTATAATGAGGATAGTCATGACAGTGCGTAGAGGGTGTATGTAAGATATCATTTTAAATTTGTAATTAATTTTTTCCAAGCGCATCATTGAATTTGCATAAGTTAAATGCACATGTGACAGCGGCTTCAGTGGCTCAGCCTCTGCCTCTTCTTTGGGTGAAACTTGGCCTTGAGGCAAATCTCAGAGTAGGGTGATGGTTGCATTTGGAGGGAGTTGGAGCCTTTTTACAAAATGACCTACCAAACTTGGGTGGTCTCCCTGTTCCAGAAAGAGGGGCTAACTGAGTCATCACCCCGTCCTCTGTGCAGTCTGACTGTCCAGGTGCTAGCTGGAGAGATGGGATGGAGGTAGTGGTTTCTTGGGCTTTGATGTTCTTTGAGACATTCTGTTACAAACAGACCTTGCTTGCCCCTCGACTGAGGCTCGTCAGCTCACATTCCCTGTCTTCTGAGCTGTTCTCTTCTACCAGGCTTCTTGCACCTGGGTGGCCTCCGCACTGCCTTGTACAACTACCTCTTTGCCAAGAAGCACGGAGGGAGCTTCATTCTGCGGCTGGAGGACACGGACCAGACCCGCCTGGTGCCCGGGGCAGCGGACAACATTGAGCACATGCTGGAGTGGGCAGGTGAGGCTGGCTGGGAAAGGACTGCAGTCTTCCCCCCGCTCCCAGGAGGGAGAACAGGGATTCCTGGAGAGAGGGGGCGTTTGTGCTACCTGGGGTGGCAAGGGCCACCTGAACAGAGACTTAAGCTCCCTGAAGAAAAGCTCCAGGCTGTTTTGAGATTCCTGTTCTTATCCCGGAATCTCAAGTCCTCCTAAGAGCAGGCAGGCATAGGCCGAGTGTGGGATGGGCCTGGGGAGCTGGACCTGTGCTCAGTGGGAGAAAGTTCCAGCCCAAGTTCCCCAGTGGGGATGCGGCCCAGCTTGTCAAATCTTCTGCCTTCCAAGAGGAGCCACAACTCCAGGGTTTTGTTGTTTTTCAGTGACTGTTTCCCACAGTTGAATCTGAGCTCAGGCTTTTGAGGGCTTTTAACCACATTGTATGAGTGAAAGAAAATGTGTTGGCCGCTGAAGTCGATTTTCTTGTGGGAACGTTAATCCTGAGCACAGCCAAACTCAGGGAGGATCAGGGGGCGTGTGCTGGAGTTCCCTGGGTCAGCAGTTGCCGACCTGCTGGGAGAGGTATGACCAGTTAGCTCCCCAAGAAAAAATAACGAAAATACCAAGACTGTTTTGAGATGTGTATTTTAATCTCAGGTAAATTAACTGGACTCTGGATTCCTAAAGGGCAGAAGCCAATTTCATTTCTGTCTTTTGCCATTGAGGGCTGTAGCAGATACTAGGTCGAGATTAGCTGAATAAAAGGGTATTCATTCAACAAGATCACATACTGTGACCAGGAAGTGTCCCAGCAGTGAGCAGAGACTCTGTGCTCACTAAGTAGGGGAGACAGGCAAACAGATTAAGTCTTTCCTGTGATATTAAGTGGTGATGAGTGCTATGGAGAAAGGGTGCAGGGGAGGGAACCCGTGGGGAGGGGTGCTCGTTTAGACGTGGTGGTCTTCGCTGTGGAGGGAACACTGGAGCAGAGACTTGCACAGAGGGCGGGCCAGCCCTGAGGTTACCTAGGGGAAGAGTGTTCGAAGCAGAGTGAATAGCAGATGCGAAGGCCCCACAGAAGCTAAGTGCCCGGGGCGTTAGAGGAGCCGTCGTGGCCCGAGCACAGTGAGCGGGCAGAGTAATGAGGAGTGCGGGAGATGGAATGCCATGCGGGCCAGGAGAGAACGCTCACCGCCTATGGCTCTGCACTGGGCACGAGGGGGTGCTGACGAACAGGTCCTGCTCTTGCGGAGCCCCTGGTGCAGCACGCATGTATGAACGACGCCCACCCTGGCGTTTTGGTGAGGCAGAGGGCAGCTGCCCAGGCACCCCAGGGTGGCTGACCTGGAACTGCTTGCTTCAGGAAGTCACTCTTTTGGGTTTGTGTGGGGGTATTTTTTGGGAGGGGGGGGGGAGCGTTGACATGTAATTCACATAATATGAAATTCACCATTTCAAAATGTACTATTCAGTGATTTAATATAGTCACCGTGTTGTGCAGCCATCGCCACTCTCTAATTCCAAGACATTTCCATCACTCCAACACGAAACCCAGGACCTATTCCTCCCTGGACCTATTCCTTCCTTCCATCTGCTCCTGTCCCTGGGTTTGCCTATTCTGGACATTTCATATAAGAGGAGTTACACAGTAAGTGGCTGTGATGACTGGCTTTTACTTAGTGTAAGTTCATCTGTGTGGTCGCATATGTCAGCACTTCATTCCTCTTTAGGACGGTCATTGTGCAGAAATACCACATTTTGCTTATCCATTCACCTGAAGGGGGGCGTTTGGCTTTTTTTCCACTTTTTGGCTATTATGAGTCACTGCTGTGAGCATTTATGTCCTAGTCTTTATGTGAACATACGTTTTCAATTCCTCTAGTGGAGTTACTCTGAAGCCCTGGGCGTTCCACACGCTGAACACATTCAGGTAGATCAGGAAGGGGCCCCGGTGGACCTAACCCAGCCTCCTCTTCTGACAGATGAAGAAAGGGAGGCCCAGTGGGAGAGGGAGCTGCGCAATCCTAACACCGCCAAAGCTGGCTGAGTGCCTGGCACATACCAGGCAGCGCACGAAGCCGCGTGACAGCCTCAGGAGAAGGCACCATTTGTGTGCTTTTACAAACGAGAACACGGAGGCTCTGAACGGCGACTCGCCCAGGGTCTCAGTGCTGGCCAGTGTGTCTGAACCCGGCCTGTCTCCTTCCAAGTTTGTGTGAACGTCGGGGGTGCGGGATTGCTCCTGATTCATTTGAAAGCTTTTTGAGGGCAGAATGGCTATCATTCAACTCTTCTGTGTCCCCTCTGCCCCCTCCTGGAAGCGTGCACAGTTCAGCACGTCCTCTGACCTGAGGCACCTGGACCGTGGGCTGGGGGTTTGGCTGAAAATAGACCACATTTCCTCCCAGGGCTTATAGTGCAGCTGCTAGAGGGCTATGTGCTTTGTGAGCACTGATGCTTTTTAAAACAATATTTCTATTGATTTTTAGAGAGAGGAAGGGAGAGGGAGAGAGAGAAACATTGACTCTGCTGCCTCCTGCACACCCCACCAGGCATCAAGCCCACAGCCCAAGAGTGCCCTGACTGGGACTCGAACCAGCAACCTTTCAGTGCATGGAATGCCCAACCATCAGCCATACCGCCCAGGCCCCACTGATGCTTTTAGTTCTCAGTCACTCTGCACAGTAAGCTGTCGGCTGCACTTTTCAGAAAAGGGAATGCAAAGAGGCAGTACAGGGAGTGGTTAAGAGCATGGACTCTGGGCCAGTTCACCTGGGTGTGAATCCAGTTGTGCCCCTTATCCTTGGCCAAGTTATCTGACAAAGTCCCTCTGTGCCTCCGTGTCCTCGTTAGTGAATGGGGAGAATAATGACATCTTCCTGGGGTGGTGGTTCTGAGGCTTAGTGAAGATCACAAAATAGAAAAGCAGCTGGCAGGTGCTTAGCACTCTGGTGGTCTGGCACCTGGGTCCCTGTCACAGACGAAGCCCGGAGTCCAGCCAGGCCTGATGGGCTGTGCCCTGAACCACACTCTTCCTCCTGAGTCGGCTGGTCCAGGCCTGGGCGGGTTTCCCCTCCCCAGGGAAAAGGTGGATGGAGAGGAAGTGCAGTTGGGAGTGTGGACGTGGAGCCAGCACGCCTCCGCCCGACCCCTCATCCACCAGGCTGCGTGGCCTTGAGCATGGGACCTCTGTGCCTGAATTTTCATCTGCGAAAGGGAAGTCATGATAGTACTGGACTCGCATGTTGTCGGGAGGACTAAAAGCTTTACTCTGTTGGCCAAGCCCTTAGAGCAGTGCCTGAGAGCCAGTGTCGCGTGCATCTTATTACTTGGTGATTGCTCTCTCCATGCTCCAGGCATCCCCCCTGATGAGAGCCCACACCGGGGAGGCCCCAGGGGGCCCTACCTGCAGTCCCAGCGGCTCGAGCTGTACGCCCAGGCCACAGAAGCTCTGCTGAAGACCGGGGCTGCTTACCCCTGCTTCTGCTCTTCACAGCGGCTGGAGCTGCTGAAGAAGGAGGCCCTGAGGAGCCGCCAGATACCCCGGTGAGAGCCCCAGCCTGTCTTGCTGCCTCCTCAGAGTCGGGTGTGTTTGTTAGCTGTTGCTGCAGAACAAGTTACCCCCAAACTTTTATGGTCTCACAGTTTCTATGGGTCAGGACGCTGGGCATGCTCACCTGGACCTTTAGCTCAGGGTCGCTCCCAAGGCTCTCCCAAGGCTCAGCTCGCGGAGGGTCTGCTTCCGTTTCCCTCGAGACTGTCGGCAGGCCTCAGAGTGTCCTGGCTGTTGCCTGGAGACATCTGCTCCTTGCCACGTGGGCCTCTCCCTACGGCAGCTCACAGCATAGCCCGGGCTTTCCTCTGAGAGACCAGGGAGAAAGCAAGCGAGTGAGACAGAGGCCAGAGTCTTTCGAGGAAGTGACAGCTCATCACTGGTTGTACACTTTCCTTAGGAGGCAGTCCCCAGGTCCAGCCCGTACTCACAGGAAGGGGATGGCACCAGGACAGAAACCAGCAGGCGGGGGTCACGGGGGCCAGGTCTGAGCTGCCAACCGCCTTCGGTCCAGGCAGTAACACATCAAGTAGCTTTAGTGATTTGTGATTTGTTGGCTTGTTATTAAGCAGGGTTTTCTCATGTTCAGGAAGATAGATGCACAAAGCTCCCTCCCCACACTGACCCTACCTGCTCAGGCCCTCTCCAGACGCAGCTGGCGCTAGAACTTGCTCCTCGTGTCCTGCAGAGGCACCAGTACGCGCACTGACACGTGCCTGTTCTTTCTCTTCCCCCTTCAAATGGCAGCGCAGTGAGCACTGTGCGACTTCTTGTCTCAAGGATCAGTCTGTATCAGTCCACAGTCTTTTTGTTTTGTGAGTTTTTTTGTTTGTTTTTTCAGTCCACAGTTTTTTTATGCTTACATGGTATTCCATTGTATGGATATACCATCATTTACTTAATCAGTCCCTTAATAATGAACCTTTACTGGTATGTCATTTGTAGTATTTGTTATAAAAAAAGAGAGCTGTGCCCTAGCCCAGTTGGTTGCATACACCAAAAGGTTGTGGGTTCAATTCCTGGTCAGGGCACATACCTAGGTTGTGGGTTCAATCCCAATCTGGACAGTGTGGGAGGCAGTCAGTCAATCAATGTTTCTCTCTCTCTCTCTTTTTTTTTAATATATTTTATTGATTTTCCACAGAGAAGAACGGAGAGGGATGGAGAGCTAGAAACATCGACGAGAGAGATTGATCAGCTGCCTCCTGCACGCCCCCCACTGGGAATGTGCCCGCAACTAAGGTACATGCCCTTGACCGGAATCGAACCCGGGACCCTTCAGTCCGTAGGCCGACACTCTATCCACTGAGCCAAACCGGTTCAGCAGTGTTTCTCTCTTACATTGATGTTTTTCTCTCTCTTCCTCTCTCCCTCTCTCTCTGAAAATCAATAAAAACATATCCTTGAGTGAGGGTTAAACAAAAGAGAGCTGTGCCTGGCAGTGTGGCTCAGTGGTTGATCATCGACCTATGAACCAGGAGGTCCCGGCTCGATTCCCGGTCAGGGCACATGCCTGGGTTGTGGGCTCGATCCCCAGTGTGGGGCATGCAGGAGGCAGCTGGCCAATGATTCTCTCTCATCATTGATGTTTCTCTTTCTCCTTCTCCCTTCCTCTCTGAAATCAATAAAAATATGTGTGTGTGTTTTTAAAAGAAAGAGCTGTGACAAAGGATGTTGACAGGCATCCTTTCGCACACGTGTGTTTTGTTAGAGACCTTCCAGGACGTGCTGCCTGGTGGCCCCGCACTAGCTGCACTCCCATCAGCGGCGGCCTCATAACTTAAGCTCCAGTTTCAGTGAACCGTTTGCACCAGGGCTCGGATGTTTGGATAAGTTCACGACATCCACTGCAGCACTGCCTCTTCGTTATAAACACTGTACTTACCCACCCACAGAAGATGGCTTTTTTTTGCCCAAGATCATATGGTCTTCAGAGACACAGATAGGGCTCATGCCCATCATCAGTGTTGTTAGCAACTATGCCGCTCTGCTTCCCAACAGGTATGACAATCGGTGCCGGAACCTGAGCCAGAGGCAGGTAGCTGAGAAGTTGGCCAAGGACCCCAAGCCTGCTATCCGCTTTCGCCTGGAGGAGGAGGCACCAGCCTTCCAGGACTTGGTATACGGCTGGAATCGGCATGAAGTGGCCAGCGTGGAGGGGGACCCGGTCATCCTGAAGAGCGATGGCTTCCCCACCTACCACCTGGCCTGCGTGGTGGATGACCACCACATGGGCATCAGCCACGTGCTGCGTGGCTCGGAGTGGCTGGTCTCCACTGCCAAGCACCTGCTGCTCTACCAGGCCCTGGGCTGGCCGCCGCCTCGCTTTGCCCACCTGCCCCTGCTCCTCAACAGGGACGGCAGTAAGCTGTCCAAGAGGCAAGGGGACATTTTCCTGGAGAGTTTTGCTGCTGCCGGCTTCCTACCAGATGCCTTGCTCGACATCATCACTAACTGTGGCTCAGGGTTTCCAGGTATCCACTCACCTGAGAGTTCCCGGTGGGACCACAGCAGTGAGGCGCCAGGACTTGGGTGCAGGCCCACCTGGTCTGCAGTCCGGCTGTGCCACCTACCAGCTGCATCAACTTGCATGGGTTCATGCTTTCATTCCACAAATGTTTACTGATCAGACACTGTCCAGTACTGGGGCTCCAACTGTGAAAAGACAGGCATAATCCCTGCCGTCAAGGAGCTTGCGATCTCAGTGTTGGTTGCCTCATCTATAAAACGGGGCTAAGTGTCTACCTCATAGGCATAAGTTAAGATTCACTGAGCTCATGAGTGTAAGGCCCCCAGCACAGTATCTCCCACAGGAGGTGCAAAAATGACAGCTGCTGTGATTTTTACAATTATAGTACTACTCTAACAGTATCACTAGTATTACTGGGACCATAGTTTATTCCAAGTTAAGCCTTTATCCTTGGCCCAAGACTTAGAGCCCAAATCTTAAAGAAGCACCAAATAGGCTAGGATGACCTCTTTGTGGGGAGATTTCTGATAATGAGGCAATAATAGTCTGCTTATTGTTTATTCTGCTCTTACTTAATCCTTAACATATCCTTGGGAGGTACAGTCTCCACAGTTTGTAAGAGGATTGGGAGTCTCAGAGAGGTTAGGGAATTTGCCAGTGTCCCAGCTAGTAGGGGATGTGACAGGTTATTGTCGGCTGAAGTCCCCACGATGCCCAGTGGGACAGCTGCTGCTCAGAGAAGCAGCCCCGCACAGCCCGCTCTACTCTGGCTGTGCTTGGACTCATGGGAAGTTCCTAGAGCACTGGTGCCAGACCCCACCGGACCGGTGGGGTCAGGGACTCAGGATGGCCAGACAGTGGGTGCCGTCCCTGCAGCTCATGTCTCTGAGGGCGGAGTGGTTAAACCATTTTTCACATCATTTTTTTTTTTCCTTAATGACAGAAGCCTTTCTGCAAGTGAAAGCTCATTTGGGCCCTTGGTGTAAAAACAGCTAGAGGTTGAGTCCCTTTGGTGGAAATGGGATGGGGAGCCCAGTGTTCACTCAGCCTCCCTTGGAGTTGAACGTCGGAGGGAGTTGAGCGCTGGGCTTCCCTCACTTGCAGAGAACCAGATGGGCAGGACCTTGCCAGAGCTGGTAGCACAGTTTGACCTGACCCGGATCACCTGCCACTCGGCCCTGCTAGACCTGGAGAAGCTCCCAGAATTCAACAGGTGAGTGGGGACTAGAGCGCCCTGCTGGAAAGGGCTTTCTTGCTGACGATGGGCCCCCACAGGTCCTGTGGGCTCCGGAGTCGCATATACCTGATTGTGACTGAGCTCAAGTGTTCAGTGCTGTGTGACCACAGGCAGTCACCTCGCCTCTTCAGACCTGTTTCCTCTTCTCTAAAACGGAGCTAGTAAGAGTTCCCACTCTGTGCAATTGTTTTAAGAGTTAAATTCAACGTTGCATCAAAGTATCTGCGCAGCCCCCAGCACATAGAAAGTGCTCAACCAATGGTAGGTATCCTTTTATCATTACCATTATTCCTGTATACCCCTTGTATGGGTTCTGTTGACTACTAAAGCCTGGGTGGCGTCTTCATTTTAGAACATCTCCCTGCCCCCTAACCCCCGATCCCCCAGCCAACACTGAGAAGCACTGTCTCATGTCACCCGCCAACACGGAGGAGCACTGTCATGTCACCCACCAACATGGAGGAGCACTGTCTCATGTCACCCGCTAACATGGAGGAGCACTGTCATGTCACCTACCAACACAGAGGAGCACTGTCTCTCATGTCACCCACCAACATGGAGGAGCATTGTCTCATGTCACCCGCCAACACGGCAGAGCACTGTCTCTCATGTCACCTGCCAACACAGAGGAGCACTGTCTCATGTCACCCTCCAACACAGAGGAGCACTGTCTCATGTCACCCGCCAACACAGAGGAGCACTGTCTCTCATGTCACCCGCCAACACGGAGGAGCACTGTCTCTCATGTCACCCGCCAACACTGAGGAGCACTGTCTCTCATGTCACCCACCAACACAGAGGAGCACTGTCTCATGTCACCGCCAACACGGAGGAGCACTGTCTCATGTCACCCGCCAACACTGAGGAGCACTGTCTCATGTCACCCGCCAACACAGAGGAGCACTGTCTCTCATGTCACCTGCCAACACAGAGGAGCACTGTCTCATGTCACCCTCCAACACAGAGGAGCACTGTCTCATGTCACCCGCCAACACAGAGGAGCACTGTCTCTCATGTCACCCGCCAACACGGAGGAGCACTGTCTCTCATGTCACCCGCCAACACTGAGGAGCACTGTCTCATGTCACCCGCCAACACAGAGGAGCACTGTCTCTCATGTCACCCGCCAACACTGAGGAGCACTGTCTCTCATGTCACCCGCCAACACAGAGGAGCACTGTCTCATGTCACCCGCCAACACGGAGGAGCACTGTCTCATGTCACCCGCCAACACTGAGGAGCACTGTCTCATGTCACCCGCCAACACGGAGGAGCACTGTCTCATGTCACCGCCAACACGGAGGAGCACTGTCTCATGTCACCCGCCAACATGGAGGAGCACTGTCTCATGTCACCCGCCAACACGGAGGAGCACTGTCTGTCATGTCACCTGCCAACACGGAGGAGCACTGTCTCATGTCACCCGCCAACACAGAGGAGCACTGTCTCTCATGTCACCCGCCAACACGGAGGAGCACTGTCTCATGTCACCCGCCAACACGGAGGAGCACTGTCTCTCATGTCACCCGCTAACACTGAGGAGCACTGTCTCTCATGTCACCCGCTAACACGGAGGAGCACTGTCTCTCATCTCACCCGCCAACACGGAGGAGCACTGTCTCATGTCACCCGCCAACACGGAGGAGCACTGTCTCATGTCACCCGCCAACACGGAGGAGCACTGTCTCTCATGTCACCCGCCAACACTGAGGAGCACTGTCTCCTGTCACCACCTCCATGTGTCAAGGGTCCTTCACTCAGAAACCTTCAGACACAGTTACCCTTCCCATCACTGCTGACATGTCCCAGTCTAAGGGACTGGGTGGCACACAGCAGGCAGCTTTGCAGTCACGGTTGCAGCAACTCCTTGCGCCTTCCCTGAAGCACTGGGGGACCGGCTCTCTTGGTGCCCTCCTTGCGTCAGTGCCCAGGACTGCAAACCGGAAATCTTTGTTAACTGGGTCTACTCTGCTCAGTCCAACTGAGGTATGGGGAACCAGGGCCCTTTGCAGCCAAGAGAAGTCAGAAATCTTTTCTTCTTTTATTGAGTGATTGATTTTTTTTTTTTAGAGGGGGAGAGAGAGAAACATCAATTTGTTTTTCCACTTATTTATGCATTCATTGGTTGATTCTTTTATGTGCCCTGACCAGAGATTGAACCTGAAACCTTGGCTGGTGTATTGGGATAAAGCTATAACCAGCCAAGGCCAGAAATATCTTATTTTTGTGTGATCTCTTTCTAGTTTAAAAATGTTAGCTATTATTTTTTTACTAGAGGCTAGTGCACGAATTCGTGTACAGGTGGGGTATCTTGGCCTGGCTTGCAATTGGGCCGATCAGGTCCCATCTCGGCCCATCTCACCCAGTCCTGATCAAGCGCATTGGGCCGACGAGCCAGGTGTAGGGACTGCGGGAGGTTGGCTGTGGGAGCACACTGACCACCAGGGGGCAGCTCCTGCATTGAGCATCTGCTGTCTGGTGGTCAGTGCATGTCATAGCTATCAGTCCTTCTGTCACTTAAGCTTATATGTATAGATTGCTATTGATCCTCACCCGAGGATATTTTCCCTTTGATATTTTTTTTTTAATTTTTTAATTAAATCTTTATTGTTCAGATTATTACATTTGTTCCTCTTTTTTTTCCCCCCATAACTCCCCTCCTCCCAGTTCCCGCCCCACCCTCCGCCCTCACTCCCCACCCACTGTCCTCATCCATAGGTGCATGATTTTTGTCCAGTCTCTTCCCGCATCTCCCACACCCCTTTCCCCCCCAAGAATAGTCAGTCCATTCCCTTTCTATGTCCCTGATTCTATTACAATCACCAGTTCATTCTGTTCATCAGATTATTTATTCACTTGATTCTTAGATTCACTTGTTGATAGATGCATATTTGTTGTTCATAATTTGTATCTTTACCTTTTTCTTCCTCTTCCTCTTCTTAAAGGACACCTTTCAGCATTTCATATAATCCTGGTTTGGTGGTGATGAACTCCTTTAGCTTTTCCTTATCTGTGAAGCTCTTTATCTGACCTTCAATTCTGAATGATAGCTTTGCTGGATAAAGTAATCTTGGTTGTAGGTTCTTGGTATTCATCACTTTGAATATTTCTTGCCACTCCCTTCTGGCCTGCAAAGTTTCTGTTGAGAAATCAGCTGACAGTCGTATGGGTATTCCCTTGTAGGTAACTGAGTTTCTTTCTCTTGCTGTTTTTAAGATTCTCTCTTTATCTTTTGCTCTTGGCATTTTAATTATGATGTGTCTTGGTGTGGTCCTCTTTGGATTCCTTTTGTTTGGGGTTCTCCGCGCTTCTTGGACCTGTAAGTCCATTTCTTTCACCAGGTGGGGGAAGTTTTCTGTCATTATTTCTTCAAATAGGTTTTCAATATCTTGCTCTCTCTCATCTTCTGGCACCCCTATAATTCTGATGTTGGTACGCTTGAAGCTGTCCCAGAGGCTCCTTACACTATCCTCGCATTTTTGGATTCTTTTTTCATTTTGCTTTTCCGGTTGGGTGTTTTTTGCTTCCTCGCATTTCAAATCATTGACTTGATTCTTGCGCTCCTCTGGTCTGCTGTCGGGAGTCTGTATAATATTCGTTATTTCAGTCCGTGTATGCTTAATTTCTAGTTGGTTCCCCAATATAAGATCAAGGGTCTCATTAGTTTTCTTGTAGATCTCATTAAGTTTATCGGCGGCTTCTAAACAGTTTTTGAGAGACCTTAAAAGTGTGGTTCTGAACTCTCTATCTTCCATTGACAATTTTGTCCTGTTTCTTTGTCTCCGCATTTTGTTATGCTTCCTTGGTGCACCCCCTAGTGGTCTTTGTTCGAAGTCTTATAGTTAAATCTTGATTGTTGTAGCTAATTCCAGGGAGGGTTTGACCTCCAGGCCAAGTGGCTATGCGAATCAGCTGTGTCAGCAGTGAGAGAACTTCTGTCCTCTAGGGAGGTGCTAATCTAGCCTTTGCCTGAGGCTATCCGCCAAAAGCCTCTGTGCAGGGCTTGGGCGGGGCGGGTCGCACAGGATCAACAGGGTGGGCCGGAGAGAGCAGTTATGGCGGCTCTCAGTCCTGTCCCCAGGGGCTCTGCCTCTCTGAGTCCCAGCACCCGCTGCAAAGCTCAAGAGAGAAAGCTGCACTCGCTCTGACCGAAGCCAGACAGTCCCGCTTCTCCGGTTTGAGTCTGGGTCCCTAAAGACTCGCCCGGATCTGGAGCTCAGAGTCTGCGACTCCCTCGCGATTGAAAACGCCAACCGCGCCCTCCGCCGCCAGCCCGCTCTGCGCACTCCGCACCTCAGATTTTGACTTCAGCACTGCGCCTCCTCTGGGTGTCCGTATGCGTTTCTCTTTCCTCCTAGTTGTAGGACTTCCACTCAGCCAGTGTTCCTGTGGTTCTGGGTGATGTCCCTTCCGTTTTTTGGTTTCACTTTTGAAGTAGTTGTTCAAAGCAGCAAACTCCGGCGTTAACCTATGCCGCCATCTTGGTTCCGATATTTTTTTTTTTTTGAGTGGAGAGTGGGAGGGACGGGGAGAGATAGAGAAAGACACATTGATTGCCTCCCACACACACCCTGACCAGGGCTGGGGATCGAGCCTGCAACCAAGGTATGTGCCCTTGACCAGAATCAAACCCGGGACCCTTCAGTCCACAGGCCAAACTGGCTAGGGCATGTTAGCTACTATTTTAAAAGCAGCATGTATCTGGGTGGCTTGGGGCCCTCAGGCTACCTGTTTCAGACGTTGGCCAGGTCTCTTTCCTTCTGTAAGTGTAGAGAACTCCTTTGGCTTTTCCTCCAGGCTGCACCTTCGTCGGCTGGTGAGCAATGAGACCCAGAGGCGCCAGCTGGTGGAAAAGCTGCAGCTGCTCGTGGAGGAGGCATTTGGGAGCCAGCTGCCAGACAGGGCTGTCCTGGACCCAGCCTATGTGGAGAGGATCATCTTGCTGAGACAGGTGGGGCTGGGAGCTCCGGGAGACCGAGGGAGCGGAGCCCCCCATTTCTCCCCTTCCAATGCATCAGCCCTGTCCCCAGTGCACTGAATGGCTGCCTCTTTCTCCAGGGTCACATTTGCCGCTTGCAGGATTTGGTCTCCCCAGCACACTCCTTCCTGTGGACTCGTCCTGCTGTGGGCCGCACGCAGCTGGGTGCCATCTCAGAGCAGGTGGATGTGATTGCCAAGCGCGTGCTGAGGTGAGTTTGCACAGGCCAAGCTCAAGGTTCTGTACCCTCTTTCCTCCTCCCCTGCCTGGGTCCCCCTTTACCCCAGGGCTGGGCAGTTGGGCTCGCAGCACAACCCTTGGCCAGTGAGAGGTTTGGGGGAGCTAACCACTCACCAACACTCTTGGTAGGTGGGGAGCCTGGAGGAGCCCAGGCTCTCCCCGGAAGAGATGATGCATTCAGGTTAATGGGTTGGATCCACCTGGGTTCCGTTCTGGCTCCACCTGTTACTCACCCAGTTAGTTCACCTGCCCAGATGGCTTCACTTCCGCCAAGTTACTGCACCTGTTTGAGCATCGTTTCCTCATCTGAAAGGTGCAGGTGAAACTATTGCTTACTGTAACAGTACCAGAACACTTCCAATGACAAGGGCGGAAAACAGCCGTGGAGAAGAAGGACTGGTCTGTGTAATTGTGTGGTCAGAACAAGGGCTGACTTGAGGCTAATGCATGGCCCAAAAATACATCACCAAAGCCCAATTTCTCTATCTTTTTTACTCTGCCCACACTCCTCCATGCCAGCTGCTCTGGTGGATGGAGGACGGGTTTCTCTCCCGCTACCGAGTGTACTTCTCTTCACCTAACAGTCCAGGGGCGAACAGCTTTCCTCCCTGTTCCAGTGTCCTGCCATCCCTAGAGTTTGTTCCTGTCCCTGTGGGCCACGGTGGCTCACGGACCATCCAGGATTCAGCCAGAGAAGGAAAAAGGAAAGAGGAGGCAGACAGGACATTTCTCCCCCTTAGGGACTTAAAAGCTATCCCGCTAGCTGGAACTCTATCTTAAGGCCATGCCAGGCCTAAGGAAGCCTGGAAAATGTACTTTATTTACTTGGCAACCATGTGCCTAGCTAAAAATTTTGTTACTGCATACAAAAGCGAAAAAGTAACTTGTCTAAAATGATCCATCTAGCCCGGCCAGTGTGCTCAGTGGTTAGAGTGTCGGCATGCACACCAAGGGCCATGGGCTCAGTTCCCAGTGAGGGGCACGTACCTGGGTTGCAGGTTCTCCGGTCCTGATTGTTTGTGGGCAAGAAACAGCTAATCGATGAGTCCCTCTCACATCAATGTTTCTCTCTCTCTTCCCCTTCCCACTCTAAAAAATAATGGAAAAATATCCTCAGGTGAGTATTAACAACAACAAAAGGAATACAAGCATGTGACAAGAAATACAAATGGTACATCCCTGGCCGGGTAGCTCAGTTGGTTCATCGTCCCAGTGCCCCAAGGTTGAGGGTTCCATCCCTGGTCAATGTATATATAGGAATCAACCAATGAATGCAAAAATAAGTGGAACAACTAAATCAATCAGTCAATCTCTCACATCAATACATTTTGTAAAAATTTTAAAAAAAGAAATACAAATGGTACAAAAGGGTTTATAGCAAAAACTAAGTCAGTGCTCGCTTCGGCAGCACATATACTAAAAATTAAGTCTTCCCTCCTACTCCAGCCCCCAACAGAAAGGCAGCCACACTTAGCAGTTTCCTTTGTGAGTTGTCTATATTCAAGGATATGTATATACAACTCTAGTCCTATCATTTTTTAATTTTGAAATTTAACATTTTGGTTATTAATACATTCAAACCTCTTAAGCCTGGATTTAAAACCTAGAAATGATAAGGTATGTGTTTAGGGAGTCCTGTTTTTAATTCTTGTCCCCTCTTAGCCCAGTTCCAAAACCCTCTGTATGTTACGACTAGTCTTAATTATGTCTAAATAATCCTTATCTTCCCCTTTTTTTACACAAAAGGTACAATACAAGAACACCATTCTGTGTCTTTTTTTCCTTTTACTTAATATATATTTTGACCTATCCAGTACTTAGAGAGCATCCTCATTCTTTCCTACAGCTACATCTACCCCATCACTATACCACTTTGCCACGATTTATTTAACACCCTCCTGCTGATGGACATTTGATTGCTTCCAGATTTTGCTGTTACAAACAATGCCACAATGAGTAACCTTACCTAGACACCATTAACATGTTTGCAAGTATAGCGCCAAGATAAGTTCCCAAGAGCTATTATTAGTAATAATGCTCCCTTAATTTTGGGCATTCCACTCTAGGGGCCATTGGTTGTTATTCACTGGAAGTAATGTCATAACTCCCATCCTGACACAGGCATTGTTTTTAGAGGCACTCTGGTGCTCCCACTTGAGTCAGGAAAGCTGATACACAAATGATCGGAAGCTGCCAGATCTCTCAAAGTCCTGTGCCCACGCCAAGCTGCAAGCCAGCTCTCACGTGTCCTGAGCTGCCCAGGACCTGTTCCTTTCACCTGCTCCTTGGCAGGTTGCTCCCTGCAGTGACATTGAGGAGATTGTCTATTTTTCCCCACATTTTATATTTTCAATATTTTGTCTCCTCCATTTCATAAATAACAGCAATCATGTAATCCAGTTAATGATGCAATAAGAATGATTACTTCTGTCTCCGGTTGGAACTCAGTTGCTCAAGTTTTGGAGTTAGTAGGAGATGTCTGTGCTGAAAGGCTATTTGTTCAGATATCTTATGAACCCGTACCCTGCACCAGCAGCACTGCACACTGAGCAACCTCTGGGGTAGAGCTGTCCGTTCCCCGTTGTGAGCAGGTGGTGTCGGAGTGGGCATCGTGGACCATCTGCCTTAGTCCCTGTTCAGTGTGGGACAGACTCCCCACCCTGCCTCTGTCTCTTGCTCTAACTTCAAAGCAGGACTGGGGGGAAGTTTTTGCAAGTCCAGCTCTAACAATAGGGAATTCCTCTTGAGCTCAAACATACTTTTGGGAGATCTTGGCCGGACTGCCAGGAAAGGGCAATGATTGCTGGTCCCTAGAGCTTAAGTGCTTACATCCTTCCATCTGTGGGCAGAGGATGGTGGTGACAAGTCGGTGGCAGGGTCCTCGCTGGGGCTGTGGTCTCCTGATTGCCTCCTCTCTGCTCTTCTGTGTTACATCCAACAGTCTCCCCATGCCCGGTCTTGGAGCTGTTTCAGATCATTCCTAGAGGGCTCCGTACTTCCAGCCTACATCTAACCCAGTCCTGAGTTTCTTTGTAGATACTTTTGCAAAGTCTCAGAGCTCTTGGGTGTAATAATACTGGCTAATAACTAGCTTTTTATTGAAATACTAGAGGCCTGGTGCATGGATTTTTCTCTTGCTCTGAGTGACCTTTTCACCGGTAGCTATGACACACACTGACCACCAGGATCTCACAATCTGGGACCCCTTGGGGATGTCGGACTGCCAGTTTCTGCCCGATCACCGCAGGCCAGGCCGAGCGACCCCACTGGTGCACAAATCCATGCACTGGGCCTCTAGTATGCATATAAGATCTTTGGTTAATCTCTTCCCACCCTCCCCCCGCCCCCCTTCCCTCTGAGATTCATCAGTCTGTTCCATGTTTCCATGCCTGTGTGTTGAGCATCTGCCCCCTAGTGGTCAGTGTGCATCATAGCTACTGGTCAAACAGTTGCTTACGCTTTTATATATTATAGACTAGAGGCCCGGTGCACAAAAATTTGTGCACTGGTGGGGCGGGGGGAGATGTCCCTTAGCCCCACTTGTGCCCTCTCATAGTCTGGGACCCCTCGGGAGATAACGACCTGCTGGCTTAGGCCTGCTCCCGGGTGGCAGAGGGCAGGCCCAATCCCTAGGTGCAGCCCCTGGTCGGGCTCAGAGCAGGGCCGATTGGGGAGTTGGGGCGCCACCCCCTGTCATGCACAGAGCAGGGCAGATCAGGAGGTTGCGATGCCACCCCCAGTCACGCTCAGGGTAGGGCCGATTGGGGGGTTAGGGCACCGCCTCATGTCACACTTAAGGCAGGGTCGATGGGGAGGTTGCGGCGCCACCCCGTCATGCACAGAGCAGGGCCGATCAGGGGGTTGGGGCACTGCCCCCTGTCACGCACAGAGTAGGGCAGATAGGGGAGTTGGGGCACCGCCCCCTGTTACACACAGAGTAGGGCGGATCAGGGGGTTGTGGCCCCGCCCCTTGTCACACAGCCACAGGGCGATCAGGGGGTTTGGGCGCTGCCCCCTGTCACACTGCTCCAGGGGCCAGGAGGCCTCACGACTCCACTGATCCCAGTGTTGGGAGGCCTTGCGGCTCCACTTGACACCGGGGCAGTGAGGCCTCACTGCTCAGCTGATCCCGGTGCTGGGAGGCCTCGCTGCTCCGCTGATCCCGGTGCTGGGAGGCCTCGCGGCTCCACTGATCCCAGTGCCTGGAGGCCTCGCGACTCCGCTGATCCCGGTGCTGGGAGGCTCCACTGATCCCAGGCCGGGAGGTCTCGTGGCTCCACTGATCTCGGGGCGTGAGGCCTCGCAGCTCCGCTGATCCTGGGTTCAGGAGGCTTCACGGCTCTGCTGATCCCAGTGCTGGGAGGCATATTACCCTTTTACTATATAGGATAGAGGCCTGGTGCATGGGTGGGGGCTGGCCGGTTTGCCCTGAAGCGTGTCCCGGATCAGGGTGGGGGTCCCGCTTGGATGCCTGGCCAGCCTGGATGAGGGGATGATGGCTGTTTGCAGCTGGTCACACCCCCTTCAGGGTGGGGGTCTCCACTGGAGTGCCTGGCCAGCCTGGATGAGGGGATGGGATGGCTGTTTGCAGCTGGTCACACCCCCTTCAGGGTGGGGGTCCCCACTGGGGTGCCTGGCCAGTCTGGGTGAGGGGCTGAGGGCTGTTTTCAGGCTGGCGGGCGACTGAAGCTCCCAACCTCTCCTTTTTTTCTTTTTTTTTTTTTTATTCTGGGATTTATTTACCTTCTATGGCTGTCACTGGAACTGAGAGCCGGCTTTAGCTCTGAGGCTCGGCTCCAGCTCTGAGACCTCGGCTGCTGATCTGGGTTTGTTTGGGTTTTATAATTGTAACACTGTTTCAGCTCCAGCTCCGAGGCGGCTGAAAGCAGGTTTCTGGGGTTTGTTTAGCTTCTATAATTGCAACATTGTTTCTTAGAGTGCAAGCTCAGAGCCCAGCAGTGGCAGGTGGGGAACCTTGGCTTCCTCCATCACTGGTGCAAGCAAGCCTCCTGTTCACTTCAGCTGCCTGACTGCCGGCCGCCATCTTGCTGATTAGCCAATGGGAAGGGTGGCGAAGTTATGGTTAATTACCATGTTTCTCTATTATTAGATAGAACTAGAGGCCCGGTGCACAAAAATTTGTGCACTCGGGCGGGAGGAGGGTCCCTCAGCCCGGCCTGTGCCCTCTCGCAGTCTGGGACCCCTCGGGAGATAACGACCTGCTGGCTTAGGCCTGCTCCCGGGTGGCAGAGGGCAGGCCCAATCCCTAGGTGCAGCCCCTGGTCGGGCTCAGAGCAGGGCCAATCAGGGGGTTGGGATACTGCCCCCTGTCACTCACAGAGCAGGGCCCATCAGGGGGGTTGGGGCTCTGTACCCTGTCATTCACAGAGCAGGGCCAATCAGGGGGTTGGGGCGCCGCCCTCTATCACCCACAGAGCAGGGCCGATCAGGGGGTTGGGGTGCCGCCACTCTCACACTCAGGGCAGGGCTGATGGGGAGATTATGGCTCTACCCCGTCACACACAGAGCAGGGCCCGTGGGGGGGGGGGGGGAGGTTGGGGCGCCGCACCCTGTCACACACAGAGCCGCAGGGCGATCGGGGGGTTTGGGCGCTGCCCCCTGTCACGCTGATCCCTGTGCTGGGAGGCCTCATGGCTCCGCTGATCCCGGTGCTGGGAGGCATATTACCCTTTTACTATATAGGGTAGAGGCCTGGTGCATGGGTGGGTGCCAGCTGGTTTGCCCTGAAGGGTGTCCTGGATCAGGGTGGGGGTCCCCACTGGGGTGCCTGGCCAGCCTGGGTGAGGGGATGATGGCTGTTTGCAGCTGGTCACACACCCTTCAGGGTGGGGGTCCCCACTGGGGTGCCTGGCCAGTCTGGGTGAGGGGCTGAGGGCTGTTTTCAGGCTGGGGGTGACTGAAGCTCCCAACCGCTCCTTTTTTTCTTTTTCTTTTTTCATTCTGGGCCAGCTTTAGCTTTGAGGCTTGGCTCCAGCTCTTAGGCCTCTGCTGCTGAAAGTAGGTTTCTGGCCTTTGCTTACAATGTTGCGATCCTGCTGGCTGAAGCCTGGCAGGTTTCTGGGGTTTTGTTTAGCTTCTATGTTTGTTACATAGTTGCTTGCAGCTCAGAGGCCTGCAGCTGCAGGTGGGGAACGTTGGAGTCCTCCGTCACTGAAGCAAGCAAACCTCATGTTAGTTTCAAGCTGCCTGGCTGCCGGCTGCCATCTTGGCTGACAGTTAATTTGCATATTGCCCTGATTCGCCAACAGGAAGGGTAGCGGTCGTACGCCAATTACCATGTTTCTCTTTTATTAGATAGGAGGATGAGACCTAATACTTTTGAGTACTTCCCATTCAAGCAATGTACTTAGTGCTTTGCTTGTTTTAATGTAGGCACAGCATAGTTCTGTGAGGTGCAGACCCACAGGTGAGAAAACGAGGCATAGAGATGACTGCACAGAGGCAGCAGTTACAGCAGTTAGTAAATCCTCTTATTTTGGTACCCGCTTTGTTTCCCTATGTGATGCCCACATGCTGGGACTCTGCTATGCGGTACCCTGGTGGTTTTTTCTTCCCCAGCTTGGGTGGGTCGCATGTGGGCACTGAAACCCCCCCCCCCCCAGGCTGGCCTGAATATTGTACCCTTTATATTGTCACTAATTGATAGTCTTCCGAAGTCCTCCCTCCCGCTCACTTGCATTGGCCCCTGTGGGCCCCTCATAGACTGGCCCACTTCTAGGCTTTTAGAAGGACCTGGCGCCAGCTTAACTCAGGACGTGCTGAACGCAGAACTGAAGAAGCTGTCCGAAGGTCTGCCCGGCACCAAGCACAGTAACGTGATGAAACTCCTCCGAGTGGCCCTCAGTGGACAGCCGGTGAGGCGGGCAGATGGGCTGGACTATTCTCGCATTCAGCTAACATTCACCAGCAGCACTGAGCTCATCTTTCATACAACGATGAGTGAAACATGAGCACTCCCCTCACCCATTCATTCAACAGCACCTGTTGAGTGCCTACTGTGCCAGTGCCGCTATGTAAAGAGGATACAGTAGTGAATCAAACACGCACACTCCCTCCCGTCATCCTTCATAGAGCTGGCAGTTGATTGGAGGTAACAGACATGTCAATACAGGAAGAAGAGGCTCCGGGGATGCAGCCTCGGCCTCAGAAATCAAAGACAGTGAAGTGCAGTCTCTGCCCTGGGGTACAGGCAGCGGTGTGGGGTTGGCTGGGGTATGACTCTGCAGACCAAGGCTGGGCTCATAGGCGATGTTTTCTCTTTCTGTCCTCAGCAAGGACCGCCTGTAGCTGAGATGATGGTGTCCTTGGGACCAAAAGAAGTGCGGGAACGCATACAGAAGGTGCTGTCCAGCTGACGGGAGATGTGCCTGGCAGTGCAGGTGGCTAGGAACCTGTGCGTGTGGAGACGGCCTTCAGAGGAGGAGTGGGTCCTGGGACCCATCGGGAACTTGTAGCAGGAACCAGAGTCTGGGTGCACACAGTGTACACATGGCTCCACACAGCCCCGTCCTCGCCCGCTGGCGGGGAAGCCCAGCATCTTCTCAGCTCCCTGAGTCTGGAAAGGAAGGCTCATGTCTGGCTCCGATACCACACTGCATGGCAGAGGTTTCAAGCTGGTTCCTAGAACAGTCCAGAGGGCTCGTGTTGAGGCCGCCCGAGCTGCGTGACAAAAAGCCACAGAGTTGGGGCTTAAACAAGGACAGTCACTATCTCCCTGTTCAGGAGGCTGGAAGTCTAAAAGGCAGGTGTTGGCAGGTTTCTTTGCTCCTTGGCTTGCTGATGCCTGCTTTCTGCTGTCCGTACTGGTCATCGCCCTGGGTGTGCCCGTGGTGTCTCTGGGTGTCCAAATGTCATCTTCTTAGGACACCAGTCAGACGGGATTAGCACCCACCCTGATGGCCCGGTTTTACCTTAATCACTTCTTTAAAGGCTGCACATACAGTTACATGCTGAGGTCTCGGTGTTAGGGCTTCAGCGTACGACTTTTGAGGGGAACACAGTTCAGTGCATGACAGCTTGGCAGCAGCCTGGACTCACTTCTCTGCCCAGCTTGGACTCTGAGTGGCAGGGCTGAGCTGAAAGTCACTTTCTCTGGGGCTCATCAGGGGACAAGACTCATCTGTCAGGGTGGGCTGAGGGAGCACTTATGTCTTACACTTGTTTTTGTCCTGCACTTGGGGCAGCCTGCCTCCCTTCCCTACAGGCTGTCTGCTGCTCTCCCAGTTCTTCAGACCTGGACCTTGAACTGAGGCCTTCACCCTGCCTATCCGCATCTCATTCACATCTGCCTCCTTATATCCATGACTGTCTGAAGTGAGATGTTCTTGGGGTGAAGAGAAATAGTTAAATAGAAGGAAGACAGTGGCTGGGAACAGAGACCCACAGGGCTTCTAGGTGTCTGGTGGCAGCCAGCCTCTGAGAGGCCCCAGTCATTGCTCCCTCTTGGTGTTCACCCCGAATAGGGCTGAGTTGAGATGCATCATGGCTTCCTTGTTCTCTTGGATCCCTTACTCTGCGGGAAACCACTTCCACGGGAAGGCTCCCAGCAGCCCTGTGGCGAGGCTCATGTGGCAGGAACCGAGGCCGCCCGCCCGCAGCCAGGTGCGTGCCCATCTCGGAGGTCGGTCTTCCAGCCCCAGCCACGCCTTCGGGTGACCACGTTCTGACTGACGTCTCGACTGCAACCTTCACGAAAGAGCCTTAGCCACGACCACGAAGCACGGCTGCTCTCAGATTCCAGACACAGAAATAACGAGATAATCGGCGTTCATTGTCTACAGCCACTGGGTTTTGCCCTGCCGGGTGGCCCGGTTGATCGGAGCACCATCCTGATGCACCGAGGCTGCAGGTTCAGTCTCTGGTCAGGACACATGCAGGGAGCAACAGTGGGTGCGTGGGTGGAGTAACACATTGATGTTTCTCTCCCTCTCCTTCTCCCTCTGAAATAAGTCAATAATAAAGCTACTAGGTTTTGGGATAATTTGTTGCCCAGCAAGTATTACCTCTTACCCTCTCCTTGTCCACGGGAAAAGGGAAAGGGGATAAAGAGTTTGGTGAGCCTGGCTGGTGTGGCTCAGTGGCTAAGCATCGACCTAAGAACCAGGAGGTCACGGTTCATTCCCAGTCAGGGCACATGCCTGGGTTGCGGGCTCCATTCTTGGTAGGGGTCGTGCAGGAGGCAGCCAATCGATTCTCTCATCGTTGATGTTTCTGTCTCTCCCTCTCCCTCTCTGAAATCAATAAAAATAGGTTTTTAAAAAACGAATTGGGCCCTAACCAGCGTGGCTCAGTGGATAGAGCGTCGGCCTGCGGACTAAGGGGTCCCGGCTTCGATTTCGGTCAAGGGCATGTACCTTGGTTGCAGGCACATCCCCACTAGGGGGTGTGCAGGAGGCAGCTGATCGATGTTTCTCATCGATGTTTCTAACTATCCCTCTCTGTAAAAAATTAATATATTTTTAAAAAAAAAAACGAATTTGTTGAGCTTCACAGAGACCTAGTCTTTTCTTGGAAAGTAGATCATGAAGCTCTGTGCAAGCAATGGCCACCAGATCCGCCTAACAGCTTTATTGGCGACTGCGTGCATGGGGTTTCGGTTGTGGGAGAGTCGCAGTCTGTGGGAAAGCCAGAGACCGGGTCTGGCTGTGTAGGAGCAGGCGCCACGCCAGGCTCGCTGCAGTGGGGATGTGGGGACTGCAACTCTGTGGTTTGTCTCTGTTTGCATTTTCCCCTTCAGTTTTGGATGAGGCAGCGAAAGGTTCGGATGCTGGGAAGAGAGTTGCTGTTCCTTAGCTGGGAAGAGGTGTCCCTGCGGGATGTGTCCAGTGGGCGGTAAAAAGCTGTTCCCAAGGGAAAGTGTTTTTCCAAAAGGGACACAGTAACAAAATGTGATTTGTTGTGCACTTGCCTGAGGTGCAACCGTGTGTGCGTTTCAGCATTTGCTGAAATGCTTCAGTCCATTATTTCATCCAGTCTTCACAATCCCACGAGAGGCATTTTTATTTCGGTAATAGGGGAACTAAGTCAGGGAAAGGTAATTAACTCTTCTGAGGCAAAGTGAGGATTTAAGCTCAAGCTTATGACAACCCCGAGTCTGAGCTCAGCTCTTAACTACTGGGCATCATCAGAGTCTCTGCTTCTCGGACGTGAAGGGCAATTAGGAGGAGCTGCCTCATGCCCTGGCTCGTGGTCCTGGGGTGCGAATGTCTGACACAGGGAATGATGAAAACGCCGAGCTGGTAAAGTGCTGCCAGTTTCCCAGCTGGCGTGAGTTGTGTAAAGCAGCATATGCCTTTTGGACGAAGGGTTTTGCTCAGGACCAGTGGGACTTCACATGTTTAAAATAACCTCAGTGTTTTTAGAGTGTAGTAAAACAGCGAGGGCCCTGGAGGCCCACTGCCTAGACAAACACCTGGACAAAGTCCTGGCCAGGCCAGTGTCATCCTGTTCACCAAAAGGTTGCTGGTTTGATTCCAAGTCAGGTCACATGCCTGGGTTGTGGGTTTGATCCCCTGTAGGGGGCAAGCGGGAGGCAGCTGATGGATGTTTCACTCTCACGTTGATGTTTCTCTCCCTTCCTCTCTAAAAATGAATCATCTTTTTAAAAAAGATCTGTTTTTATAAAAAAGCCCAGTCCTACCAATTATTCACTGTGACTTCTGTGCCTCAGTTTCCTCACCTGTAAGTGGGAATAACAATGGTACTGTTATCGGTTGACTCAGCGAGATAGACCACCGACTCAGAATTTAAATTTAGGAACCTTTATTAAGCTGGCCAGCTGTCTGCAGTCCCAGCACCCCGCCAAAGCAAAGGCTGAACTGCAGCCCTGACTGCAAGAGTTACAGCATATTTATTTGCAAAAACTACAAAGTTACAAAGCCTTGTTTACACAATTTGTTCCTGACACAGTATAGCATTATCACCTTCCTATCTAAGTTTTCCGGGAACAGAGAGCACAGTATATTGAGGAGGGACCATGAGACCCATATCTCAAGGCCTGACCTGATGTCAGTACCTTCCTATCTGTCTGTTCCAGGAACAGACAGTACAGTACGCTCCGATATGCAGCCCAGTACATTCCCTACTGGTCTTAGTGGGAATCAAATCTTTGATTCAGCGTCCTCCTCTAAGATTCTGGAGTATTGGGTGTATAAAACCATTAACTTTACAGCCTGTATTTGATTTTGTATGAAATTGAGGAGGCATCTGGCAATGCAGGGGCCAAATATGAGCCCTAGGAGGAGCAGAACGACTGGTCCTGCCAAGGAGGAGAGCAGGGTAGTTAGCCAGGGGGACCAGGAAAATAAATTCTCGTACCAATTGCCTTCAGCCCTTCTAGCCTCTTCTCGGTCAGCCAGCCGTTTTCGCAGCTGGCTAAGGCTTTCCCTGATCACCCCCGAGTGGTTGGTGTAGAAACAGCAAGACTCCCCTAGAGCCAGACAGAGGCCTCCCTGCTTCAGGAAAAGCAGATCTAGGCCTCGTCTGTTTTGTAATACTACCTCTGCGAGTGAACCAAGGGAGTCCTCCAGTTGGCTAACAGATTTTCGAGAGAGCTTAAATCTTGATATCTGCCTACTTAACTCTTTATAATTCTGGTGGCCGGTTGCTAGGGCGGCTGTTCTGACGGCCGTGGACCCTGCAGGTCCTATTCCCATAAGGAGGGGGACTAGGATGGGGGCTTCTAGGTTCGAGGTTTAAATGTTCTCGGCCCCCTTCTGCCGAATAGTAATATACCTGTGGGAGGATATGAGTTAGAATGCATAGTCCAGGGTCCGTCGGATGCTGGAGGACTGGAGAGAAGATGCAGGGGTTACACCAGTTGTACATGCCCACCAAGTCCCTTTCGGAGCTACTAAGTAGGTGGGGGTCTCTCCTGTGTAATTCTTTGGAAGTATGATAGATGAATTACATAGATCTGTATAGGTGGAACTGCTAAGGGGGTAGTTCATAGGGTACACACAAGTCCCGGGGTTTAAGATGTCCCCAAGAGTAAGTCCTTGGTGTTTGTGTCCCCACATACACAGTCCGTCTGGCAGACTTTCTGCCGAAAGGTTCCTGATGGCAGAAGCGTCCTTCCCGAGCTGGGCCCCTGCCCCTATCCCAACATAATAAGGGGGTTCAGGGTTGAGGCACAGCCAGCAATCCGCAGTCAGGTTTGGGGAGGTGGGATTTAGGAAAGAAAACATTAAGTCCAAGGTTCCCAGCAGCTTCCGGTTTGGATTTCCTGCGCCCGTAGCCAAAAGCTGTTGTCGGTCCCCAAGGGCTGGCGAGGTCATGGCTGCAGGTGGAGTAGGGCTGGGGCTCCCAGAGCTTTGTGACCCAGGGGAACCAGGAGGTTTAGCTGGGGCTGGGTGCTGTGGCTGGCTCGGCCTCTCTGGCTTGTCTAGGGGACGCAAGGGGCCAATCGGGTTGAACCACCGGGGAAGAGTTCGGCGTTGAATGGTGAAGAGCTGGCCAGGGTCTCGGCCGCTTACATAGAGTCTTAGTCCCCACGTCTTTCCCCCTTCCCATTGGTCAGTCCACCAGGTGAGAGGCATGAGGAGGACGGGGTTACAATTTCCGATCGTGCAGTTCTTCTTTAGGGCCTCAGGTCGAACCTCTCTGTTCAGACGGAGGAGCTTGTCGGTGGGAGGTTTTTTCCATGGGGCTAGTGATGCAGTGTGGTCACATGCTAATCATTCACTGAACATTGTTTACAGGAGGTGACTTTTGGGTTTAAATATGTAGACCATAGTTGTAGATATGTAATATTTATGTCAGTGAAATTACGATAGTGTTTTTTCCAACATGTGGCCTATTCGCTAAAATTTGTTAAAAGTAGCCCTAACCGGTTTGGCTCAGTGGATAGAGCGTCGGCCTGCGGACTGAAGGGTCCCAGGTTCAATTCCAGTCAAGGGCATGTACCTGGGTTGCGGACTCATCCCCAGTAGGCGGTGTGCAGGAGGCAGCTGATCGATGTTTCTCTCTCAGTGATGTTTCTAACTCTCTATCTCCCTTCCTCTCTGTAAAAAATCAATAAAATATATTTAAAAAAATAAATAAAATAAAATAAAATTTGTTAAAAGTAACAGTAATGGTTGGCATGTGCTGCCAGCCCCAAAGGAGAAACAAAACAAAAAAAGTAACAGTGAACGCTAGCCGGTTTTCTCAGTGGTTAGTGTCAGCCCGCAGACTGAGGGTTCTGGGTTTGATTCCGTTCAAGGGGACATGCCTCAGTTGCAGGCTCCATCCCTGCGTGTGGGAGGCAACCAATCAATCATGTCTCTCTCATATTGATATCTCTCTCTCTCTCTGTTTCTCCCTCTCCCTTCTACTCTAAAAATCAATGGAAAGATTAAACCTCAGGTGAGGATTAACCAAAAAAACCCAAACACTGAAGTAATAACACAAAAATAACCTTTTAATTTAATTATAAGCAAATCTTGGTTAAAAGCGTTTTTAAATTAACAGGGTTTTTATTTTCACATATGACATACGGACCTGAGCTTTTGTCCATTAAATGTGAAACACATTAAATCAAGGTCCACAAAATCAAGGGTGTCCTGTATTCTCTCCCAGAAAGTACCCTTCCCAGAAGATGGTCACTGTTCTATATCCAAATTTGGAATCTCACTCATAGTGCCTTTTACTACTTTATTGTGTTCTTCCTGGTACTCATTACTATATGAATTATATAGTGTGTTTGTACACTTGTCTATCGTACTCTAAAGACTAAGGTTAAGACTGGCAGGAAAGTTTTCCTAGTCTTGGTTTGCACCCTGGCACCTAACACTTGACCTTCACACATAGCAGAGTCAAAAATCTCATGACGGCCTGGCCAGTGTGGCTCTGTTGGAGCATACGACAAAGGGTCACGGGTTCTGTAGGCAACTGATTCATGTTTCTCATGTCAGTGTTTCTCTTTCTCCCTCTCCCTCTCCCTTCCTCTCTAAAATCAACAAAAACACATATCCTCAGGTGAAGATAAAAACAAACAAACAA